AGTGCCTGGGTTCCTCTCCAGACCTTTAAACTGGAACTAATGCGTGGGGCTTAAGCATCCACTTTTGAAAATGTTTTCCAGTGATTCCAATGTGTAGCTATATTTCCCATCAGATTTCTCTGATTTCCTATGACCTACACTTTTTTCTATTTTGGTATCATAATTATTTTCAGGTTTCATTTCCCGTCTTAGGCTTTATGTCCCCTGGGGTAGGGACTTTGCCTTCTTCATTTCTGTATCTTTTTGGAACACATGAATTGGTCATCAGGAAAGGTCTCAATCACACATACGTTGTGTTCTGAGTCCTGGGTTCACAGGCTAACCCTAAAGTATTTGTTCTCCACGAGGTCAGAGATTTCTTGTGATGAAGGGTGCGGTTAAGTCTGTAGTGCAGATGGTGGAGGGGAGTTCATCCTGTTTTTAGGCATAGCATTGGAATTAAGAATTTTATGTCTATGTGGGTGAAGGGGCAGGGATGTGTAGGAAGACAGTTCTAATTAGGATGGAGAAATTATACCAGGAAGTAGAGGTAAAGAAAGTGAGAAGGATTAGTAAATAGAAGAAATGTGAACTTATCAAATAGGCTAGAGTAGATACCTAGAGATTCCTGATTAAGTGCATTAACTAGATTTTAGAAAGGTAAAGAGGCAGTCCTATGCAAGGAAGGTTTCAAAGTCTGGACACAAGAAGTCAAGCAGCACTTTGAGAAGTGGTTGAGCTTTATGGGAATGGAGAGAAGTACAGTATTGAGAGATGTGAAAAATAATGAACAGGGTTTCACAATGTGAAATTGTGTTTCTCATTTAAATCTGAGAAACAAATGAGCAGAGGCTGGAGATAATTACGTCTAAAAGACAGTGGCGTACAGGGAGCATAAAGGCCAGGGAGAAAGGGAACTGCAGGAATTAGTGCTGAGAATCAGGAGTTTGGTGGAGGAAGGAGGAGATCCAGTCCCAGATACAGGCAAATAAGTCTCTTCCCTCTCCCAAGCATGGCAGTCAGTTCTGCAGGAAACGGGACAAGAGAAAAGGCCGTCATACCTGTCAGTCTTCCTGAAATACAGAAATGACATCATGGCTGCTATATTAGACTAACGCCATTATGGACGTCTTCTTGTTGAACGAGCTGTCATGGAAAAAAAAGAAAAGAAGGAATGGAGGTGATGTTATTTTACGGGGCGGGGGGGAGCCTTAGGAACAAGCATGTAACATGAGGTACTCTATAACTGTTTCTTCAAGGAATACATTATTTCTGTTGGAAAGTTGATGGGAGATGATTATATTCTTGCAGTGTTTTTCCCTTCTCACCATGTTTCTAGGTTGGTGATCAGTCCTCTGTCAATTCTCTACTGCACTCAGATATTTCAGAAAATTTTCAGATGTGAGAAAGGCTGATTGCTATTTTCCATGTCATTAGAACTTTAGACCTTTCCACCTTTTCATGTTTGCATCTTTTTCTCAGTGTCTCTGTGGTGGCAGCTGTGAATGAGACCCTGCCAGGTCTCCATGGCAGGGACCTGACTGAAAGAAGGCCCAGGTCAGTGCATTTCAAATACACCTCCTCCTTTGCACAGAAAGCTTCCTTCCCACAGGCTCCCAGCAAGGACATGAAAGCAAGCCTAGTTCTCTCAGGCTCTCTTTGACTTTAATGGGTGACTGGTTGGAGGATTTCCCATCAGCCTTCCAAAAACTCTCTTAGAACTGCATTGATACCTAAAACTTCTTTCTCTTTCTTTTACACAGGAGTCAGCTTTGCATAGGGGTCTGTGGGTTCTCCCATACTGCTTTCATGCCTGCCCCACATTCCCTCACAGGTGTCTTCCATGATAAATTATCTCATATGTCCAATCCCAAAATGGATGCATCTCAGTTGGTAAAAGGTAACATACCAGGCTTGATTCTTTGCACTTAGCTTTTCTCATTTCTCTCCCACTAGCAGTCAGTAACCATGTCCTAGTGTTTTTGTGGTACCTCTTTTTCTATATATATACGGAAATAGGTACTGTTGAGGGGCACGTGCTATGTGCCAGGTCCTGTGCTAAATACTTTACCTGTACCTCATTTAATTCACACAGTAACCCTGTCAGGTAGACATTATTTCCATTTTGCCAATGAAAAGACGCAAGCTTCGAGTAGTGTAAAATCTCTCCTGGTGTCATATGGCTAGTAATAGGTGGATCTGAGATTTGATTCTAGAACTATTTGACCTCAAGGCTAATAATGATGGTAGTAATATAGCAGCTGACATTGGTTCATCTGTGTGTGGCATCTTGTTTCATTGACTGGATGAAACCTTTAAAAGAATGGTATGAAGCAAGCTCTCTCATGCTTCAGGGTATGAAAGAAGAGCAAACTAAACCCAAGCACAGTGACGGAAGGACAAAATACGGATTAGAGTGGATAAAAAGAAAATAGAGAATGGAAAAAGAATAGAGGAAATTAATGAAACCAAAGTTGATTCTTCAAAGTAAAAACAAAAAAATTGATGACCATTAAATAGACTGACTAAGAAAAAAAGAGAGAAGATTAAAATTACTAAAATCAGAAATGAAAATGGAGTCCGAGCATGGTCGGTCATCTTTTAATCGTGGAACTTTGGAAGGTCACAAAGGGAGGATTTCTTGAGGCCCGGTGTTTGGACCAGCATAGGTAACCTGGGGAGACCGTCCTTCTACAAAAAAATTTAAAAACCAATTAGCTGGGCATGGAGGTATGCATCTGTAGTCCTAGTGTCTTGGGAGGGTAAAGAAAGAGAATTTCTTGAGCCCAGGAAGTTGAGGCTGCAGTAAGCCATAATCACACCACTGTATTTCAGCCAGGGCTGGCCTACAAAGTGTGAGCTTTTCTCTCTCTCTTAAAAAAAAAAAAAGAAAAAGAAAAAGAAAAAAGAAAATGAAGTGAAGTGATTACTACGAATTCTAATAAAATAATGATTATGAAAGTATTGTAAAAAATTGTATTCCAATAAATTGGATAACCTAGATGAAATAGACAAATTCCTAGAAAAACACAAAAATATGAATAGAACTATAATCAGTAATAAGATTGAATCAATAAAAGCATTTGATGAAATTCAGTATTTTTTCGTAATAAAAACATTCTAAATAAGAATGGAAGGAAACCACCTCAACATAAAGGTAATGTGTGAAAAACTCAATCCTAACATCATACTCAACGGAGAAAGACTGAAAGCTTTCCCTGTATGAGCAGGAACAAGACAAGGATGCTGCTTTTGACAATTCTATTCAATGTAGTATTGAAAGGTCTAGTCAGAAAAATTAGGCAAGAATTTAAGAAAAGACATTCAAATTGGAAGAAAGGAGTAAAATTATTTATGTTCGCAGATAACTTGAACTTATATGTAGAAAATCCTAAAGATGGAACAAACCTATTAGAATTAATAAATGAATTCAGTAACGTTGCACAATACAAAATCAACATTCAAACATCAGTTGTATTTCATCACACTAACCATGAACAATCTGAAGGGCAATTAAGAAAAAAATTTTAATTTGTATTAATATCAAAAATAATAAAATATTTAGGAATAAGTTTAACCAAAGAGGTGAAATGATTATAACTGAAGTCCGTAAAATATTGCTTAATGTTGACATCAATAAAACGAGACATTTTGTTTTCATGAATTAGAAGACTCACTATTGTCAGGAGGACAATGCCACCCAAAATGAGCTGCAGATTCAATACAATTTCTCTCAGAATCTCAGTGACATTTTTGCAGTAAAAGAAAAATCTGTCCTAAAATATATATTGAATCTTATGACTCTAAAGAGACAAAAAACATTGAAGAGGAAGAATGAGGCTAGAGGACTCACACTTCCTGATGTCAGCATTTACTACAAAGCCCCCGTAACCAATACAGTGTGGTACTGGCAGAAAGGAGGACTTAGAAATTAATAAGATAGAACAGAGAGCCCAGAAAGAAATACTTGCATATATGGCCAAATGATTTTCATCGAGTGTGCCAAGATCGTTCAATGGGGGAAGGACAGTGTTCTCACCGAATGATATTGGAAAAGCTGGATATCCCAGGGCAAGAATGAGTGGAACCTTTACCTAACATCATATACAAAAATTAACCCACAATAGATCAAAGATCTAAATGTAAGAGCAAAATCTACGCAACTCTTAGAAGAAAACAGGAGAAAAAACTTCATGATATTGGATTTCACAACGATTTCTTGGTTGTAACAACAAAAGCATAGGCAACAAATAAAATGGATAAATTGGACTTCATAAAAATCAAAACCTTTTATATATTGAAGAACATTATCAAGAAAGTATAAAGGCAACCCATGAAATGAGAAAAATATTTGCAAATTGTAAGTACGATAATAAATTAATTTCCAGAATACATGAAAAACTAGAAGTCAATAACAACAAACATCCAAAAACCCATATTAAAAAATGAACAAAGAATTAAAATAGAGTTTTCTCCAAGGAAGATATGCAAATATCCAATAAGCCCATGCAGAGTTCCTCAGCGTCATGAATACATAGAGATATGCAAATCAAAACCACAATGTGACACCACCTCACACACTTTAGGATGGCTTTGATAAACAACAATGACAGCAACATAAAACAACAAATGTTTTCAAATAAATGGAAAAATTGGAGCTCTAGTGCATTACTGATGGGAATGGGAAATGTTATAGCCACTGTAAAAATGGTGTAGCTGTTTCTCAAAAAATTAAACAATAAATTACCATTCGATCCAGCAATTCCACTTCTGGACATACTGCCTATAGAATGGAAGGAAATTTGAACAAATATTTGCACATTGATGTTCAGAGAAGCATTACTCACAATAGCCAAAAAATGGAAACAACAGAAAAGTCCATTGAAAGGTAAGTGGGTAGGCAAATGAGGTGTATCTATACATCAAAATGTTATTCAACCTTAACAAAGAATAAAATTCCAGTAAATCATGCAAACTGGATGAACCTTGAAGACATTATGCTAACTGAAATAAGCCAGACACGAAAGGATAATTATTCTATAATTCCATTTATAAAAGATAGAATAGCCAGTTATATAGAGACAGAAAGTAGAATGGTATGTGCTAAGGGATAGGGGGAGAAGAAGTGAGAGTTACTGTTTATAGGGAACAGAGGTTTAATATGGTAAAAGGAAAAAGTTCTGGAAATGGATAGTGTGATGCTTACACAACACTAAATTGCACACGTAGAAATAGTTAATGATAAGTCTTATATTAGATATATATAAAGTGTCCTGGTAGTCTTACACTCTATAAATACACCCTTTTTTCATGGTCCCTTTCCTGCCATGCAGAGCCCCAGAGGTGAATCTCCCTATTTATTCAAGTGTGCATCACTCGCTGTCCTCTGTGCTGTGTCCCACATGCAGTGCCCACAGCCTCATATAGCCGGTGACTTCAGAGCAAGGACACAGCTCAAAAGTCTTCCCTGAGGCTCCGTCTCCTCTTATGTCCCTGCAGCCTAGGCTTCACTTAAACTGGCAGCTCGATTTAGCCGAATTCAGGACAGTTCACCAGTGCACTTTCTCCACATTTGCTGGTCTCACCCCAGGTGGAGTCAGGCAGGGCCTGTCACCAGAGAAGCCAGAGCAGAGAAGGGAGCAGTCTGAGCTGCTCCTCCCTCATCCAAGGGGCTTCCTCCTCTCATTTGAGGGAAAAACGTGAGCTTGTTTCAAAGCCTCAGAGTAGGTAAAAGGAAACAAAGACGTGGCAGAAAGGGATGTGTTGGTGACAGCGAGAAGCAACGTGACCTTGAGGACTCTCCTTCTTGTCCCTCTATTAAGCCTCTTCCACCACATAGGGCTCAGGGCTGAAAAAGCCCCTTCCCTACCCTTGTCAGACTGGACACAAGGTCAGCTATGAGAAAACAAGGAGAAGAGAGTCTGTAGAGACAATTTGGGAGGGTTCAAAAGGAGAATTTAGGATTTGCTTCTGCCCATGGGACACAGGCTGTGAATAAAAATGTTTTCCTGACACTTCTCTGAAAGCCAGATAGACTCCACCTAAAGCCCTATTGCCAATGATGCAGGGATCCACTTACCCACGACTGTGATCCTCCTGAATGTGGAACGTTCCCTGCCAGTGGCTGAATTACGAGCAGAGCAACCATAGAGCCCGCTATGCTCTGTAGTAATTTGGGGGATAGAGAGCTTTTGTCCTGATTGCAGAAACTTCCCATTAATCGTCCAAGAATACTCTGCCGGTGGGTTAGAGTCCACGAAGCAGGACAATTCGAGAGTATTTCCAGAAAGGTAAAAGTTAAATGGAGAGAAAATCCTGGGGACTTGTGGACCATCTGGAATAAAGAGAATAAAGCCACAGGAGATGTCATCCTAGGGAAGGGGATGCTCCTTGTCTCTTAAAGGAACACAGTGTCCCTCTGAGTCAAGACACACCCTCAAGGCCCAGCCAAACCCCTTCTGTGTTCACTGAAATGAGGCCTGAGGTATTCACCAGTTCCTGCCATCACAGGTTGTAGACCCCAAGTCTCCCATGACAAGAGCAGCCCCTCCCCTTCTATTCTTGGTTAAGGCTGTGCCTACCCAGGTTTCCCCAGGGCAGGGAGTCATGGCCTGCTTGGGTGTCCAGAAATAAAAGTGTCTGTATTTGGACTTGAGAGAGACTGAGATGCGTGGCCTCTGGTTGTTTGGATTTTAGCTGGTTGCCTGGCCCACAGAGGAACCAAAGATACAAAGGACATCCAGGGTGACTGGGTCACTGCAGATGCTACCAACTCGATCCCATATTTCACATTCATAGGGTCCTGTGTCATTTCTTGTGACATTGGCTAGAATGAGGATCCTGTTTTTACCGGGTTGCTTTAGCCTGGGACTCACCGGGAGGCTCTGACCATTTACCCTCCACAAGTAGGTGTAGCCCTGAGTCTTAGGTTCACAAGTTAAGGCTACAACATTCTTATTTTCCATGGGGTTGAAGTTGTTGCTGGTGATGTAGGGCTTGGGCATCTCCGCTGTGTGGATAACAGAGAAGTTTGTCCTGTGTGGCACCTTTGATTCCTCCACAGGCATCCTTCAATCAGAGTTGGCATCTCCCACTTCTCAGCCCACCCGAGTCCTTGAAAGTCAATAGCTGGTGTGTGTGTCACAAGACAGATGCATGATGATCTAAGGGCTCAAAGACTGTGAGGCCGCCTGCTCTGTCTTAGGGAAGCACAGACTTTCTCGGGAAGCACAGACTTTCTCAAGTGTGAATTGATCAGCAGTGTTGGGTCATGGACAGACACGTGAGTGGGAGTCACAGCCCCTGGTACCCCTCCCAGTCCCTCTCTAATCAACTGACTGGCTGGCTCACCTTGGGTTCCTTACCTGGAATGTGCAACTGCTGGGCCCCTTCCAAATTCCATCCTACTTTGCCCCCCTAGATGTGATTTCTCTGCAGCTTCCATTTCCAAGGACATTGTAGAGATGAGTAATAATGGGGACATCCCATTGTCCTGAAACCCTGAAGATACTGAGCAGCCTGGCCTGAGACTGGATGTTTCAGCAGAGAGAAGACAGGGGAGACCAGAGTCAAGCCTGGAGGTCAGTTCAGTCATCAGGCAGTGGAGGCACAAGGTGGGGCAGTTTTTTTGCAGGTGTTTCATGATGACTTACTTGAGCCAGTGACCTCCAAAGACAGAGCAGAGTGCAAGGAATGATCTAGAAAGAGTGAAGGGGATAGGCAGGAGCTGGTGTCTTTGGAACAGAACCATATTCCGTGTTCTGGGTCCTTTAAGTTTCCTCTCCTTCTGCAGAGGGCAGGTGAGGACTATGTGGATCTTTCGAGAAATACATGTGGATATTTGCAAATACATAACTGACTGGTGGAAAGGGTGGGAATGAACTGCTGGAAATCTGGTCCTCATGGACCATGTGTGTTTGATGGATATGAGACAAATTTGGGGACAATTTTTGCAAATATTTTCTTTCATGGGACCCTCTACTCTCTGATTCCATGGGTTTGACTACTCTAGGGACCTCATGTAAGTGGATTCCAGAGTGAATCTGAGAAGAGACTGCTGGTTGCCAGGAGCTGGGAGTGGGGAGAATCAGAAGTTGTTCATGTGTGTGCAGTTTCAGTTATGCCAGATGCGGAGGTTCTAGAGATCTGCTATACAGCTCAATGCCTATAGTTCACACAGACTCAGTATTTCTTATGCATAAGATTTAGGATAAAAAGTGTTTTGGATTTCTGACATTTTTTCATTCTGAACTATTTGTCATATACTTACTGGTTTAGCATCCCAAATCTGAAAGATTCAAAATCTAAAATGCTCCAGTGAGCATTTCTTTTCAGCATCAGATTCGTACATCAAAGTGGGAGATGATAGGCCAAATACATTCTTGCCACCCCCCCCTTTTTTTTTCTCTCACCACGTTTCCAGCTTGGTGATTAGTTTTTGGTCAATTCCATACTGGCCATGCTGTGCTTGTATATTTTTGAAGGCTTTGGGATGTGAGAGAGGCTGATTGCTATTTTCTATGTCATCAAAATTTTTCACCTTTTCATGGTTGCATCTTTTTCTCAGTGTCTCTGTTGTGGCAGTCATTAATAAGTGCCTATCAGGTCAGATTTAATACAGATTTTTGTAATTCTGCAAAAAATGTTACTGGGATTCTGGTAGTGGTTGCGTTTAATCTGCAGCTTACTTTGGTTAGCATTGTCTTCCTAACAATATTGATTCTTCCAACCCGTGAGAATGAAATGCCTTTCCATATATTGATGTCGTCTTTAGTTTCTTTCAGTAATGTTTTGGAGTGTTCAGGGTATAACCCTTTGACCCTTTTGGTTAAACTTATTCCAAAATATTTTATTTCTTTTGATGTTAATGTGAATGGAAATTCTTTTCCTAATATCCTTTCAGATTGTTCACTGTTAGTGTATAGTCTAAAGAATGAACTAGAAAGAGTGAAGGGGACAGGCAAAAGCTGTTGGTTTTGGAGCAGAAACTTATTCCTTGTCCTGGGTTTTTGATTAGGGCAGGTGGCTCTTTCCTGATAGCCAGATAGACTTCACTGGAAAACATGCTGCAAAAGCTCCAGGGATCCACTTACCAGGGACTATGATCCTCTTGATTATGTGATTTGTTTCACAAGTGGCTGAGTAATGGGTGAAACAGACATAGACCCCTGTATATGTTTTAGTGATTTGGGGGATAAAGAACACTTGTGCTGATTGCTGGAACTTCCCATCAATCAGGGAAGAAAGCTCTGCCAGTGGGTGAGAGTCTGTGAGGTAGGAGAGCTTGGGGACTCCCCTGTGTGCTAATAGGCGTATGAAGAAGAAATGGTGGGGGTGTCCAGGCCATCTGGAGCAAAGAGAATAAAGTCACAGCTGATGTTGTCAGAGGGAAGGGAAAATCCTGGTCTGTGGAAGGGCCACAGTGACCCTCTGAGCTAAGTCACAACACTGAAGTCCCAGCCAAATCCCTGCTGTGTTCACTCATCTGGAGCCTGAGACTTTCACCTGTTTCTCCCATCATAAGCTGTGGACCCTGAGTCTCCCATGACAGGAGCAGCCTCTTCTCTCCCATTGGTGATCAAACTTAAGTCTACCCTTAGTAGTCATTGTCAGCTTTGATGTCCAGTGGTAAAGGTCTCTGTACTTGGACCTGAGAGGGACTGGGAGGCCTGGTCTCTGGCCATGTGTATTTGGGATGGCAGCCTGGCTCACAAAGGAACAGAAGATACTCACAGATGAGATTCAGGGTGACTGGGTCACTGCGGCTGGAACTCACTGGGTTCTTCATTTCACATTCATAGCGTCCTGCAATATCCTTTGTGACACCATATAGAATGAGGATCCTGTTGTTTTCGGACAGCTGCCACGGGCGACTGATAGGGAGGCTCTGACCATTTATCCACCACAGGTAGCTTACATCCTGAGTGTCAGGATCACAGGATAAGATCACAGTCTCCGTGCCCTCCCTGGGGTTTAACTTGCTGCTGGAGATGTAGGGCTTGGGAGTCTCCACTGTGCAGATAACAGAGAGAAGATTGTCCTGTGTGGCACCTTTGATTCCTCCAAAGATATCTTTCTATCAGAGATGGCATCTCCCACTTCTCAGCCCACCCAAGTCCTTAAAAGCCCATGGCAGGTGTGTGTGTTACAAGACAGATGCATAGCAATCTGAGGGCTCAGAGACTGAGGCTGCCTTCTGTATGTGGGAGAAGCACAGACGTTCTCAAGTGTGAATTGAGCAGCAGCATTGGGTCATGGAAAGACACGGGACCAGCAGTCACAGTCCCTGGTGCCTCTCTGAGTCCTTCCCTCTCTAACTGCCTGCCTGGCCCACCATGTGGTCCTCACCGAGAGCATACAGTGCTGGAATCTTCTTAGTTTCAGTTTTCTTTGCCCCCCAAGGTATGTTTTATCTGCAGCTTCCCTTTCAAGGACATCCTAGAGATGGATGATGGAACTTCCCATTGTCCTTAAACCCTTTGTGTACTGGGAAGCCTGGCCTGGACTGCATACTTCAGCATAAATAACACAGGGGAGACCAGAGTCAAGCCTGGGGGTCAGGTCAGTCATCAGGCAGTGGAGCCACAAGGTGGGGCAGTTTTCCCAGCTGTCTCATAGTGACTGACTTGAGCCAGTGACCTCTAAAGATAGAGCAGAGTCCAAGGAATGACCTACAAAGAGTGAAGGGGACAAGAAAGAGCTGATAGCTTTGTACCAAGACCATGTTCCTTGTTCTGTGTTCATGATGTTCCCCTCCCCCTGTAGAGGACAGGTGATGACCATGTGGATCTTTCTAGAAATACATGTGGATGTTTGCAAATTCAGAACTGACTGGTGGAAAGGGCGAACATGAACAGATGATGGAAGTCTACCCCTCACGCACCATTTGTGTTTGGTGGCTATTAGACCAATATTTGGGAAGAAGTCTTGCAGATACTTTCTCTCATTAGACATTCTACTCTCTGATTCTATGAGTTTCACTACTCTACACATCTCATCTCAGTGGATTCCAGAATGAATCAGAGAGTAGAATAGTGGTTTCCAGGAGCTGGATTTGGGAGAATAGGGCATTGTTCCGGGGGTGTGCGCTTTCAGTTATGCAGGATGAGGAGGATCTAGAGATCTCCTGTACAGTTTCATACCTATAGTTCATGCAGACAAAGTGTTCCTTATGCAGAAAGCTTAAAACCAGGTGTTTCGGATTTCTAACTTTTTTTTTTTATCTTGGAATATTTGCAGTAGATGTACTGGGTTAGCATCCCAAATCTGAAAAATTTAAAATCCAAAATGCTCCATAGAGCACTTCTTTTTAGCATCACATCAGTGGTCAGAAGTGTTGGATTTGGGAGCATTTCAGATTTTGAATTTCCGGATTCGGGATGCTCAATTTGTAATACTGTAATTTTCCCGTAATAAGTTGTCAGGAATTTAGACATCATGTTATGTTCTTTCCCTAGTAACAAAAGCAAAAAATATTTGGAGGAGACATTAAAATGTTGTCATAAGTGGAAATTTTTACTGATGGTCCAAACATCTAATATCAATTGCTATTAGTAGTATGTCTCATGATACCCAATTAAGGTTTAGGTGTGGGGTGAATTCCAGCAGGATCATATTATGCTCAAAGAAAGATGCCAAACCTGATTTGAAATTAGCAAGTCCTCCAGAAGTCTCTAGGAAGTGACTGGAGAATATGAGCTTCATGGTAGGTTGAGGATGGAGTTACGAGTGAAATGGGTGAAATCAGCCCGGGGGCTTTGGAGACTGCTGGTCTGTCCAGCCTCTGACACCTTGGTGAGTCACTGCAAAGATTACAACAGTGACAGCAAACTAGCATGGCTGACTCCATCTGGCATCTAGTCTCAGGCTGGCTGTCCTCACTCATTCCTGGACATAGGCCAGGCTAACCATGGAAGGAATTTAGTTTATGGTTTAACTTTTAAGAAACAATGATAATAGTTCCTCCATAACACTAATACCCTTATTTTGCCCAGGGATTGCTTTTTTAAATCGGATGAAAAACCATGAGACTAAGATTATTGGAGGGCAGTGAATTCTGCTAAAATGTAGGCACAGTGTCTATAACCCCTTACTGTTCAAATATCATTTGGCCAGACCGTACAGAACTTGTAACTAATTGCTGCTATAGATAACATCACTATTGTAGAACCTGAGATTGGTCTTTTGAGATATTTCTCATTCTTTGCATTCTGGCAGCCGGCTGATCGCATCCATACCCTTGACTAATGGCTCAGTCAAGCACTGGTCCCCACCTAGAGTCAGATTCAAGCACAAACAGATCATTTCCTTCCGCCCGCATGATTCCATCCCCAAACAATCAGCAGTACCCAATTTTTAGTCCTGTGCCCCTGAAACTCTCCTTGAAAATCTCTAACCCCTGATCCACTAGGGAGGCTGATTTGAATAATAATAAACCTCCATACTCCTGTTTGGCAGACTTGGAGTCATTAAAATTTTTCTTTACTGCAAATCACCATCGGGTTAAATTGGTTTTGTTTGTGCAGGAGGCCAGAAAAACTTGTCTGGGAATTGTAAGAGTGGATGGAGGAGCTGCCTATCCCTGTCCCACGGTCTTGTCCACAGAACAGCCTCACAAAGGGAAACAGCCCTGGATGGGGATACAGTGGAAGCTTATTCTCTTAGTGACCTGGGGACATTGGCTCGAGATGAAGCCTGGCAGAAGTGGCAACTCCAGGTGATTTCTGTGCCTTTCCTATTTCCTGGGAGGTGGACCAGGCCACAGTGCTAGCAGGAAGGGAACAGAACAGTCAGCCTAGTTAGAGGGAGTGTCTGGGGAAGGCCTAGGGGTGGAGGAAGAAGCTGTGTAGGACAGGGCTTGCCAGTTAGAATGAAGTGGGAGGAATTTGAGGGACACAGAGAAGCAGAGAGAGGCAGAGACAGCATGGCAGTGAACAGTGGGGCCTACAGTGACTTCAGAGACCCCAGGGACCAGGTGCCCCCATTTTCACAGTCCAGGACCAGGGAGCCCTCAAAACCCTCTAGTGGCCAAAGAGCTTCAGAGTTACACATGAGGTGGGGTGGCTTTAGGGACAAGAGGTAGTGGGGGGATGAAACATGGGTGTCCGCCTCTGACGGACAAGGGACAGATGTGGCTACAACTTCCTAGGATTCTGCATTCAAGATCCAGTCTCTAAAGAGGTTATGGATCATTCATTTCTTCATTCAATTCCTTCATTTGTTATGTAAGAGCACCTGAGGGTGTGTCTCTCACTGGGTATATGCTGGTGCAGGGTGTGGGTGGGGAAAACAAACAAGGTCCTCTCTTTTATCCTGTCATGCCAGTGACATGGACACTTTGGGAAATGCAGGATTTCAGGTTCAGAGATAGGGGTTAAGATCTGAGGGGGAGGCCTGAACATTTTTTGCACTGACTCTGACAGTTGAGGCAGGTGATTTAGTTCTGGAGTGCAGACTAATCAGCTGACCATTTGCTCTCACTCCTCTGAGGTTTGGATGCCTAAGAAGAGAGAATTTGAGCCAAAACATAAGCCATCACTTCTGGTGGAGGAGAGGATGGGCCTGTGACTACAGACAGACTTCATGTGACCCTGATCTGCCTTTTATGTTTGTGTGACTCTCGTTCAGTGAATGTGACTTCCTGTGCCTCAGTTTTCTCTAAGTCAAATAAGCTAAATGGCGAATGGACTGTGGCTTTTCATGCTATCTGTGAATAAATTGTAAATTCTTCACAGTCACGTGACCTAATGCTTGTCACAGTGGAGGTGTTCACACAAACAGCATTTATTATTATTCACTTCCATGAGAGAGCACCTTTAGGTCAGATCCCTGTGGACAAGCTGCTGCCAGGTACATTTTCTCTCTTCTGTTTCTGCTTCTGGGGACATTAGACTTTCTATGGAGTGTCCTAAGCCTTGCAAGGCAGTTGGCCTATGGCCTACAAAGCTTGTCTTTCTGTCCTCTCCACTCTGAGTCTCAGGTGAAGAAAGCTCTGTCCTTGCCCAGATGAGGCTCTGAGGGCTGAGCCCTGGCTGGTGAGCAGCTCCAGGAGACACAGTCCTCAGACAGCTGGTGAATCCTTGGTCCCAGTAAGCCCTGCCACAACCCAGCCATGGCACAGGCTCCTCAGCTTTATCTGGAGTAAGGATTTAGGGACAGGGGTCTGGAGTTGAGGCTTCTTGGGCTAAGCTTCTCTGAGAGTATCTCTGGGGGCCTCTTAGGCAAAGCCCTGCTCAGTTCTCCAGGGTCTTTCTCAGGGTCAAGTTTATGAAGAGAACATGAGGTGCTTGGCTGAGACTGATCTCCTCCTGCTGAGCAACCCCCCTCCCATCAGACCGTCCTTCCTGTGCAGCCAGTGTCTTCAGGGTCTGGAGGCAGGAAAGCAATTCTGATCTGTTGAAGTTTGTCTCCTCTGTGTGTGTCCTGCACTAAATTCCAAAACCCCAACATGGGACATAACGCAGAGAGGGACACAGGTACAGTCCAGGGTGACAATCCTGTGTGTGCAAAGTAGAAGTGACCCCACCCCCCAACACCCAGGGATCATGTGGAATCACTCACGGTATAAGGTGAAATGTACAGTTACTCCTTTAGTCTCCTCCATTCGATTCATGATTTTTACGGTGTAGGACCCTGTGTCCTGCTTTGTAACATTCCGGATCAGCAGGGATGCATTGGAATATAGTGTTTCTCGTCCACTGTATGCATACCCAAATATAATTCTTTCAGGATCTATTGTATATGCTGTAATGAATTGGTGGAAGTCCATTATTTGCCCTTTGTACCAGACATAGGCAGCAACTTTCTGGGGCAAATTGCGGACAAGTAGAAGAACATCCTTCCCCTCGGAAACTTTGGTAGGCTGAGCTTCAATCATGACTTGGGCAGTGGTGGGCGGGTTCCAGAAGACTAAAAATGACGCTAGGAGGTGGAGAGAGCATCAGTCAATATTGAGACCTATGTATTGGGGTGAAAAGATGGGGCCATGGGTCCTGAGACGATCTCTTCAATCATCAGCCTTGAAGAAACACACACACACAAGCATACACACATACACACACACACCCCTTTTGTGTGTGTGTGTGATTGTGTGTTTGTGTCCTACTGTTCTACTGGGTCAAGGTCAGCGGCAAGACCCCTATTCCTTCAACCCTTTTGACCTCGGCATTTTTCTCTTTGGAATCCTCTACCCCAGAGGTCTGCATGGCTTCCTTCACACTGCCCTCAGGTCCTGCTCACATCAGGGCATCCTTAGATTTCTTTCTGACACCTCCTTCAGAGACCCTGGGTCCTCCCTTTCTGATCTTTCCCTGCTCTGCTCCCTCCGGAGCTCTTGTCAACACCTGACCTCACATTCCAGATCTCTTTGCATGTCTGCCTTACTGCCCATGAGAGCATGAGCTCCGTGAGGACACGGACGTTTGTGATCTGGGTTGCACCCCAGTGCCTGGGACAGGCTGCAGACTCCAGTAGATGTGAGAGTTCCAAGGACCCTTCATGCGTGGGGTGTTTTTATTTTCTTTACCCAATGGTTGAGGTTTTTTGCTAAGGACAGTGTTTCATGCCCTGCTTATATTTTCATTTGAAGTGTCATCTCATAATAGTTATTATTATCATTTTTCAAAATGTGGTGACCAGTGATGATTAACCAGGAAAGGAGAATACTTGAGATTTTCCTACCTCTTACCAATTCCAGTTCAATGTGATTTTCCTGTTTTGACCCCTGTCCCTCTGTGTTATATTTTCCCCTATCCAGGTTCCAATAGAGCCTTTTTTCCTCTTTTTTTTTTTTTTTTTTTTTTTTTCTGAGACAGAGTCTCATACTGTCGCCCAGGCTGGCATGCAGCGGCACAATCTCCACTCACTGCAACCTCTGCCTCCCGGGTTCATACAATTCTCCTGCCTCAGCCTCTCAAGTAGCTAGGATTACAGGAGCACACCACCACACCTGGTTAATTTTTTGTATTTTTAGTAGAGACGGGGCTTCACTGTGTTGACCAGACTGGTCGTGAACTCCTGACTCCATGATCCACCCACCTCAGCCTCTTAAAGTGCTGACTTTTATTTTTTAGAACGCCATCCTCTCCAGCAAACCCCATCCAATCATTCTGCTTCCTCCTCCTGTCCTCTCCCAGGAAATTCTCTCCTCACCTGTGAGCAGGAGCTCCTTCCAGGTGATGTGCAGTGTGCAGGGAGGCGCTGAGAGGGGCCCCATGGCCTGCTCCGCCTGTGTGTTCTCCTCTGTGGAGATGAGTCTGGGATCCAGAATCTTTCCGAGCACAGCTGTCAGCTGTGCTGTCCTTCCTCCTTCTGTGCTGAGCCTCTTCCCGGGGCAGGAGCACTTCTCAAACTCATGGACGGCGTCTGTGCCCAGGACACCTCTCTGTCCCCTCCCCTCTCAGTCCTGCCTCCTTTTCCCTCCTTCTCTTTTTCCTTTTGTCTGTGTGTCAGGTCCCTGGGAATTGTGGAGGCCTCTGCTTTTTTCAGCAGTGATTCTGTCACCAAACCTCGGCACACACTATGTGCAGAAACACAAACACACTCAAAAAAGAGACACACACAGACACACACAGTCACACACATACCCTGTAGGTTGGGCAAGCACAGTCCTGGGCCTCAGCCTCCTGCTGTCCCCATGGCTCTGGGTCGGGGTGCACATTCACACCCTTTGCCCTCTTTCATCCCCATCTGGCTCTCCCCTTCAGTGCAGGAGGCTGGAGCTGCACCAGATCCCTGTCACAGGGACACCCCATTGTGCTGTGGGTGAGCTGTGTGTCGTCTGGTGAGAGGGACCCTTCCTTTCTCTAATTGTGTCTAGCTTGGCTGCAGCTTCCAAGGATGGACATTCAGGACCTGGGTGTCCCAGAGGAAAGTGTCTTTCCTGGAGGTGTGCAGGGTGAATCTCTCATGCCTCTTGGGAGGAGAGGCCTGTGGTGGTTGCTCAGTGGGGGCTGTGAGTCCCATGGTAAAAGGGACAGTTCTCAGTCACTCTATTGCACCCTGGGGACTGGTGGTTGAGCTGGGGCTCAGGGTTTCTCATTTCTTCCTGACCATCTTTGGTGTCCTCTCTTCTCTGCCCAGCTGATTGTACTGTGGTCACCATACCTTCCCTGTGGTGGTGCAGGAGGAAGTTGGGGAGTTACCCAGGAACCCCGTGGAACATGGCTCGTTGGGATACAGGAAGGGGAGCCTGGGACAGAGCAGGGGCTCAGAGCTGGAGAGATTCATCCCGACCTACTCCGTGGTCGTGATGGGCTCAGCCCTCCATGTGCTGACATACCCAGGGGTCTGTCCTGAGGGTTTTCACCTGGCCAAAATGCTCTCTGTAGAGGAGGAACAGGCAGTCACCAGAGAGCCTGTCTGGAGGGACGTCGCTCACACCTGAGAAGGCGGGTGGGGGTGAGATGTGTTCTCGGAACAAAGAGCAATAATACCCCCTTCTCCCGGCAGAGACACAGGAGAGGTCTGTCTTTCCAAGGGACAGCCGGGGGTAGGTGGCCACATCCTATGTGGTGCCTGTGTTTGACCATCTCACGCGCTCTGAGCCCCCACGGGGTGCAGCGGGCAGGCAGGTCATAAGGTGCCTCACTGATTCCCGGGGAGGCTGTGGACCCTCAGGCAGCCAGTGTTCTGTGGCAGCACTAGGCTTGGCCTAGGATGCCCCACAGAACAGGACAGATGGAACAGAGGCGGGCATTTAGGGAGCAGTGACAGAAAGAGTTGATGAGGATGGAGGGAGGTCACGAGGAGAAAGGGCGCAGTGTGGCGTCCCGTGCACCAGCGCTGCCCTGGGAGATGTCTGTTTAACTGAGCCCAGGGAAGCAGAAAGTGTGTGGCGCAGGAGCTGCCTGCAGAGGGAGTGGTGTTAGGTTGGCGGCCGCCAGGTCAGGGAGGAGCTGACAGAGTCCTTGTGGGGAACATGGAGGACGTTGAGGACTTGGGCCAAGGTGACTATGGTGAGGGTGGACCCTGCTTGGCTAAGGGTTCTGCTGTGGGAGGTCCGCATCTCCTGGGAAGGTTCCAGGCTGGAAGGACTCTGCCGCCCTCTGGTGGACTGGAAGGGAAGTGTGGGTGGCCGAAGTCCCAGGCCAGGCTGCGTGTTTCATTCCACAAGGATCTGCACGTTTCAAACGAGGTCACACATATGCTATGTTACAGCTCCATCACCTTCCAGTCCTATGAGTCCCAGTATCTGTGGCTCTACGTTCACTGTTCTCCCTCTTTCACGATCGGATGTCCCGAACGCAGATTTTTGTCACCTTCTGTGAGTTTGTGTTTGTGTGCAGTAGGCGGCACTGTGTATACCCTGGGGGCAGTGATGTCTGGGGCTGAGCACTGCACATGGGCTTGGGAACAGAGGACGGAGCAGCAGGGCGGGAGGATCAATGCCAGAGGAGTAGGGACAAGTCATTTTCATTTTCTCACTCCCAGGGACCAGAACCCAGGATTCTGACTCCAGGGCGCAGTACCACACCCTGCTGGTGTCCCTGGATGTCATGAGTGCTCATAGTGTCATGTTGCCTTGGCATTCATTTTTTAAAGTGTAAGTTTATTTGCCTCACATCAGAGGCAGGCCTTTCTCACCATGGCAGTTTTCAATACTGTATCTGGTTCAAGTGACTGCAGTTGGTGGCCAGCGATAAAATCTAAGAGGCATCTCTCCTCCTTGGTGTGCTGGGCTCCTCTCTCTCCATCTCCTTTCTTTAAACTGATAAATATGACATTTGCCCTCACATTTAAAGTGACCACTTCTCAGTCACAGCATGATCTCCTTGTCCCAGTGTTTGCTACTTGCTTTAAACACATCCATTAAAGCTCCTTGCTGGAAACCTGTCAGATAACACCTGGACTTACTAAAATCATTGGCTTACTGGTTTCTTCTCTCCTTCCTGCCTGGGCTCGCTGACCTCTGTATCTGTGGTCTCCAGGTGTGCCGAGTGCTCCCCAGTGTCTGTAAGTAGTAAAAACACTTACACTTTCACATTGTGGTTCTATCGTTATAGCCTCACATGCCATCCAGGGCCTGACATCGAGGCTGCCCTATGGGATGTGTCCTCGTTGAACCCCTGCTGGAGCTCTTGTTTTGGGACCTACAGTTCTTCTGGGGACAGGAGCTTCCAGCTAACTTGATTGAAAAAGTGATAAGTTTCATGGAAAACACTGGGTCAGATGATGTATTCATGGACTTCAGCTGCCATAACAAACACCTTAGCCTGGGTGAATTAAATAATAGAAATCGATTTTGCACAGTTCTGTGAATAATGTGCTTTCTTAACCACTTTAAAATGTGCAATCAAGTGGAATTCACCACATACACAGTGTTAAGTTACCATCACCACTATTTTTCCTAGAAAACTTTTATCATTTTAAACTGAAACTTTGTACCTTTGAAGCTATAATAACTCCCTGTATTGTCCACCCTAGACCTTGATCATCTCTACTCTGTCTCTGTGAATTTGCCTATTCTTGATGTTTCATATAAATGGAATTATATATATATGTTATTTAGTTTCTCACATATTTCACTTAGCATAATGTTTCCAAAGCCCATGCATCTTCCAGTGGATATCAGAGCTTCATTCCTCTTTATGGCAGATTAACATTCTGTTGTATGTGTGACCACATTTGTTTATTCATGTGCTGATGAACACTTGGATTGTTTTCATATTTTATCTTTTGTGAGTAATGCCACAATCAACATTCCCGTGCGAGTACCTGTTTCAGTCCCTGGATTCAATTCTTTGGGTATATACCTAGGAATGGATGCTGTTTCACATGAGAATTCTATGATTAGCTTCTTGAGGAACAGCACAACAGTTTCTCCCTGTGGCTGTACCTTTTTATAATCTCACCAGCAATGTATGAGGATTCCAAATTCTACATAATACTTTCAATTGTTATTTAACATTTGAAAAGAATGGTAGCCATATTTGTAGGTGTAGTGTGGGATCTCATTGTGGCTTTGACTTTGTATTTTCCTAATGACTAATGCAGTTGAGTTTCTTTTCATGTCCCTCTTGATGATCTGCATATCTTCTTTGAAGAAATGTCTATTTGCGTCCTTTGCCCCCTTATATAAATTGCTGGTTTGCCTTTTCGTTATCAAGTTGTGGCAGTTCTTTATATATTCTGGGCGTGAAACCATTGTCTTTGTGATTTGCAAATATTATGTCTCATTCTGTGTGTGGTCTTTTTATTTTCTTGATAATATCCTTTGATGCACAAAAGTCTTGCATCTTTAGCCCAATTTATCTATTTTTCCTTTTTGTTTCTCACACATTTGGGTCATACCTGAGACTCTGTTGCACATTTGAGGTCATTAAGTTTCACCCCTATGTCTTTTTCTAAGATGTTTTTATGGTTATAGATCTTATAATTAACTCACTCATCCATTTTTAGATAATTGTTTGATATGGTTGGAAGCATAGTTCTCTAAGTTTATTGTTTTACACGTTGTTATCTAGTTGTTTCTGCACTGTTATTTGAGGGGATGATTGTTCCTCCATTAAATTATCTTGAAACCCTTATGCAAGAGCAATGAACTATAAGGGTGAGAGTTTATTTCTGGACTCTCAATTCTATCTCTTTGGTCACTATTTGTATTTTTATGCCAGCAGCTTCTGTTTTTAATACTTGTAATGTTTTGTGAAATTTCAAATAAGAAAGTTCAAGTTCTGCAATTTATTTTGGCAAAATTATTTTGGCTCTTTCAAGGGTACTCTTTCAAAAGAAAGGAGGCCAATGTTTTGCAATTGGAGAGCCTTTTCTATCGTCTTTCAGAGGCGAATTTTGCAGCCTAGGGATCTTTTCAAGAACTTTATCACAAGTAGGTAAATTATCTCCACTTCTTTTGCTGAGGTACTGCGTTAAAATACGTTTTGCTTCCCGTTGAGGAATTGACAGACGCTGGAAGCACTAGCCCATGTGGTGAGGGACAGTAAACTCCTTAATGAGGGGTACAGAAGACATTGCTTTGGGACGCAATGTTGTCAGGAGAGCTGTGTGCCTCTCTACTTCTTTATTTTTTTGTACAGGTTGCATATCTGCTGGACATACTAGATATTGAAATCTTTGCTCATTCTCTTGGCTCTGGTTTAGCTGACCTGTCAGCTGGAGCTGGAGGACATGCCCGGCAGGGGAGTGACGCCCATGGGAAAGAGCAGGGCTCAGCAGAGTGAAAGCAGCTGGGACCCAGAGAAGTCAGTGAGGTCTGAC